TAATAATATCTCACAGTTTCATATGATTAGCGTAAATTTTTTAAGTGCAGTAACTTTAACTGACTGAAATTATTAACATTATCACGTTAACTTCGAAAATAACTAAAGAATAAACAACATATAATAAGTTAAACTAAATTGCACCTTCATGAAAAGCGATAATAATAATTTTCACATTTGAGATATATCTGAGCCAGCAGTAATAACATATATTACAAATAACAATTTATCTTTAATCGCAATTGTGACGCTTAAATATTATTATAAACCTAATAACTGATATTATTTAATTTTTACATAATCATATAACTAAAAATGTCTCTGATTTAAAAATTTTGTTATTTTTAGTTTCATTAAATAAGTTTTTTTTCTGCAAGTATGTTTGATATATTCGAAACTTATTCGAAACTAAAATCATGCATTCCTTTTTTCCTTTTAATGAAAGTTTTCTCATATAGCATGTAAATATGGAATTATTTAGGCTGCGCTACCATATTATGTTTTTAGTGTCACGCAAAATACAATTAATAAATGGTTTAAGCTAATGAACTGTTTTTTTCCTTTTTCTTCTTCTCCTTTTTTCTTTTTTAGCAATTATTAGGAAGAGCTTTTATCACGCGGGCTGTGCCCTGTAAAAATATACCTTCTCTCTATATAGAACTACGATATCAATGTATACAAGACCAGTTTATCAATAATTAATATCTTTCATCGCCATATACATTCATTTCTTATCAGGTATTCACAATATTTCTTAATTATTATTATATTATAGTTATTTTTTTATTTTTGTTTTTTTATAAAAATAGGATGATACTCTTGCCATATACCTTTATACATTTCTTCCAATCAATATTTATCAATTTGACACGATATATATTGATGTTCTAACAAAATTTTTTGAACTGGTCTGTGTATACATTACAGGGACTATGTATATACAGCACTGTTTAAAATCATCTCAAAAGCAATAAAGAGAGTAGAAAAAGGCATGAAATGATAATATTTTTCAGTTCAAATCCATATTCACTATACCTCAATTTCTTTTTAAGTTCTTTTTGTTTTAGTTTTTCGCAGCACATTTTCTGCACATATACAGCTGCGTATGACCAGATGTATTTTAAGTATGAATAAATGAGAATATGAACATGAACAAATGTATGTGTATATGTATGTATGTGCTTGAGAGTGAATGAATGTTTTGTATAGACTCGCAAACGCGTATGTATATGTATATGTGTATATATGTATACACATACATACATATATACATTATATATATATATATGTATATATATATACACATATGTATATATGTATATATATAATCTTTTTTTAAATATATTATTAATTTCTCTATTGTAAGATATCAATTATATTTCTATACATATCTACAAGAAACCTAATATAGAACTCTATTATTATTAATTAAACTCTCTATGAATTAATATGTATAATTGTCACAACAGGTCTAAAAAATTTATCGTTATTATTTTAGTTTTAGTACGCAATAGTGTTTTTTTTCATTGACATTTCATGAACTACTTATAGTTAAATTCATGTCTTAATAACATGTAAAAGTAATTCTTTTTTTTCTTTAACACTATTCTTCTATTATTGCTTGTTACTTAGTGCTATTTATTTTGGCATACAGCAAGTTCTAAACCCTGAGCGACCGCCAATTTTTTATTTTCTTTTGCCATCCTTTTGTTACCAACTTTGTTTTAAATAGAAATGCACCCGATAAAATTTTTTTTTTAAAATAATAAGATATCATTTTTTATCTTATATTTATAAATTTTTTCTCAGTAGAAGATTTAAGTCTCAAAAATCATATTAAACATTAGAATTTTAAAAGATTCATGTTTCAAAAGAAAAGTAGGAAGTTTGCGATGCTACATATATATGACCAAAGTATTTTTATATAATTTGCTTTAAATACCGTTTTCCTTCACTCCATTTTGGCCAATGCTTACGTCTTTTTTCAGACATATTCGAATAATCATTCGAAGCTGAACGTTTTTTTAGTTTTGATGAACTCTCGGATTTTGACGTCGAGTTAATACTTTGTATATGATGTGCCCTACCGTGGTTAAGAGGTGTAGTAACACCTGCTAAATTTAAAAGTGCATCTGCACCTTCTGCTATTTTCCGTTGTTCATCAAAATCAGTATTTGTTTCTTTCCTTGGATATTTACTTGAAAAATAAATATATATTTTAATATTAAACGAGAAACATATTATAAATATATTGTCTCAATATTAAATAAGAATTACCTATTGAAATTACCATAATATTCTTACCTTTCTTGTCTTACTGAGGTAATACAACTGTAAGTGTGATCTTCACTAGAACTCCTAGTAATTACAGGAACCAACATTTCTGATTCCGGTACTTTTCGCTTACGATCTGCCATAAAATTTTAAATTGTGAAATATTAATTAAATATTTATTTAATGTTTATTTAATATTTTTCTATAAGATACTTTGCCTTTATTATGATTTAAAATAATAGGTCCATGTTTAAAAGAAAGCATAGCAGCTGCAGCTGCATCTACATCGCTATCTACTTCGGTATCTGTGTTGTCAATAATGTTGCTCGATGCCAGTCTTTTGGAAAGATATGGAAAAAGTGTAGGATCAGGTAGACGTGTACTGATATTCTTTTTTTGTGGTTTTTCGGGTGAAGACAAAGTTTGAACAGTTGGAGGAGGAAAAGGAGCACGAGATAACGCTTGTATCAAGTTTGGACGATATTGGGCATCTACCATCCACAGTGAACCTTTGCCCAAATTCTAAAAGGAAGGACGTTTTACTAAATTTTTATTTCTAGAAGGGAAAATGATTTTTTTTATTACTATTATAATATACTTACTGGTGCTTTCTCTACTTTACGAAAGCACTTATTTAGGCTTAGATTATGTCTAACAGAATTTTTCCACCCAGTTGGAGCATTCCTAAAATATGGAAAGTGATCCAAAATCCAAGCATACACTTCCTTGACTGGTAGAGCTTTTACAGGGCTATCTTCAATAGCCATGAAAATTAAACAAGAAAATGAATATGGAGGTTTACTGTTTCTATGTAAATGAGGATCATATGGTATATGAGTTGGGTGTTTGTTGCGATTTGAGACTGGCAAATTATTGTTGTTTAAAGAAATCTTCGTCTGATTGTTTTGTGAAATACTATAATGATTTTTTACTGATTCCTGAAATATTTGCATTGATTTTTGACCATTTTTACTTGAGACTTGATAATTTTGATTATTACCATGTGATGTTGTATTATTTATCTTGCTATTGCTATCTCCTATAATAATAAAAAAAAATTAAATTCACATTATAATAATCAAATTAAAATTAAAATACATATAATAATCACCTGGACAATAACCATCATCTAAACTTGATATAGAATTAGTATTTTCAGAATAGTCTGCCATATCATCACAAACATTATTATTTAAAACATTTTCATTTTTTATTTCTTTAGTAGGATTTGAAATATCCAAACCCTTTAACAGATTTTGTTGATGAAGCCAACTTAAAGAAGTCAGATCATCATCTGACTGACTATTTTTTTCAATAGATTTTTCAGACATAGAAAGTTCATCAGTTGAATTTGTTTCAACAAAAACACTTGCATTTTCTTTTTCTTTCATTGTATATACTGTATCTCCAAAGTTGAAAACTTGTGTACTTAGTCCTATACCAGTTTCCACATCAGATGCATCTGGTCTATCTGGTGGCATATTGTGTGAAGTATTTTTTTTGTCACTGCAAAAAAAAATTAAGCTATATTTATATTTTGATTAAATTTATTTTCAATTAATTAAGTTATTTTATCATTTATATATTCTTGAATGATTTTTATAAATGGCATATACATATATAGAATGTTTCAAAACAAATGAAGAAAGATTATGTGTAAAAATTATAATTAAATATTTTCAATTCATTTTTATATATGGAATTAGTATCTATTTGCCTTCTATGATCTATTTTTAATATCTTGTATGTTATATAAATAATATATAAATTTTTTAATATAATTATATAAATTTTTTTATTTTTTGAAAATTTTTCATTCATAAAAAAATTCGAAAAGATATAAAAAAGAAAAGAAGTTCTATGAAGTAAGAAGAAATTGATAAAGTTCAATAATTTGAATGACAACAAAGTGTAAATACCAAGTTTCTTCATAATCTCAGCAATGTGTTCATGTATATATGTATAAATAGTTTCCTAAATGCTTCAATTCGAATACAAATCAAATTTCTTCAATTATATATCATTATATATCACTAATAGGTAAAAAGAAAAGATAACATAATTTCTTTCTTTATAAAGATTTATAGAATTTTTATTATAAAAATACACATTATAAAATTTAATGAATAAATATTTATGAAAATATTAATCATGTATAATTGTTTAAAGCAAACACAATTGTCGAAAAATAAAAACGAAATATATGCTATGTTTTAAATAATGAAGTTATGAGTAAAAATATTAATAAAAATTGAGATATGTAAATATATAGACTTACAAAATGTAGAAAAGATTTATTTTAAATAATTGCTAATTTGTATTCTATTTCGGAAATCATATAGAAATATTATAATTACGGAAAGGATGCGTAGGTAATAAAATTGAATTTTCGCGCATGTGACGCGCCTGTAGCCTCGAACCCAAAGTACCAACATCGTCATTTGTTTATCCACTAATAAGCGACAAAATGGCCGTACTATTAAGAACACATTGTAATTGAAAATAAACTTTGAGAGAATCAACAAATTCTACAGCATTTCTCATATTATCATTCATAATTATTAATAGTTCTTTAATTATTTCATGCATATATCACTTTACAAAATTATTTACAAAAGAATATACATTTAAATCATTTTCAAAAAAATGGCGTCTACATAGCACACTTAATTCTGAACATGTTTTTGCTCTTATTAATATAAGATTATAAAATGAAAATACTTTGCGAACATTTTGTAAAATTTGTATTTCTATTTCGCATATATTGCTATGAACATGACATTATCCATAGAAAATTTCTATCGATAAGTGCAACACAATAAACAGATTTTTCGCAGACGAATCGTTTTGAGAAATTATGTTCACATAATTTTTATATGACATACTTAAAAAGAGTAAAGCAAATCCTGAATGCTTTGTCAATGAAACGATAAAGCGTGAAGTACTAGAAAAATTTAAGAACAAGCAAAACATGTCACTGCGTTACTTGTTGAATTCAAATATGGAGTTGATAATGATTACGAAACTGGAGCAAACATGAAAATGGCTACGGCATCGCTTGCACACGGTATCAACATTGCATTTCAGAAAAGATACAATACTCATGCGTTCAGGAATACGATAGTAAAATCATTATATCTATTACAATAACAAAATTTAAACGCATTGAGAAAGTTTTTCTACCAACCATATTTTATGTATTTTTACATACGCATCATCTTTTGAAATATTAAATTTTAACAAGATTGAGCTTTTTACACGCAACTTCATGAATTAATAATCACTTTATTTAATATTCCTAAATACTTTTTCAATTTTCTAAAAATTCCACACAAAACTGAATTGGAATATTTAAGAAATGAAACAGCGTTTTGCGTCTTTCTGCTTTGTAACCTGGTTTGCTTATTGATGCGCGTTAAAATCTTATTGTTCGCGAGTGAATACAAGAATTTAAATAATGCGAGATTTTTTAAAAACTCACGTATTGGAGTAGACAGACGGCAGTCTTCGTAGATTTTCTAAAGACGGGCATCTCAAGCACACTCTACACAACACCCAGCTGATTGAAACGCCATATTTTGACGTCATCACGTGGTTACCGAAACATCTTATCGCATCTCGAATATCGATTAATCGTATTAAATTAATCGCCCGGGAAAATATAATTTTTATAAAGCGTTTGATATTTTAAGTGATATTTGTTTAATACTTCAAAATTAGGAGTAGTAACGAAATAATCATTTGATTTAAATCTAGACAATTTATTCTTTTTTATTACAGTGCCTAATAGACAGCAATGTCTTTTAAAATTATAAAAAACCGTAACGGATACTGGACACTATAATAAAAGGATAAATGCTTTCTGGAATTTAAAAGCAGTCACAGCCTAGTAAACCGCAATATTGACAACAATTCGATTCATTTTGTTCATGAAGACATATATATTGCTACAATATACTGTACCATATACTCTATTAGCATAATATTATAATTTTAGCAATGGCTTATTTCATAAAACATACATGATTTTCTTTTTAATATTAAATTACCGCCATATTCTACGATAACATATTTTATAAAAGACAGGTACACTCATGGCACAATTCATAGGAAAAAGTTTTTACAATACTGTATTAAAATATTCATTTTTTTCTTCTTTTTCTTATTCATTTGATGGCAAAGAATTTCAATCTTTTGAAGAAAAGTAAAAATTACACAAATGTTGTAATGTTCAAACAACAGGTACAAAATTTGAGAAAAAATATTTCTTAATTCGAGGTATCTAATTCTTCAATATATATTGTGCAAATGGATTAATATTGTAAGTAAATCAATACTCTATTAACTTTTATCTAACATTTCTAAACAATTTTTATGCACGAGTCACAAACGCGAACTGGTTTATCCCATCCTCTATGTGGTACAGGTTTACGATGACGTGAACAATCTTGACATACTCCGCGTCCGCAATCTCTACAATGATGTAAAGTAAGTGATGCAGAAAATTTTTGATAGCATATGCAACAATTAACAATTTCCGAGTCAGGAATCCAATAAGATGGTCGAACTGTATCCTTAATAAGTGCTAAATAAATTAAAAATATTAAGATTAATATAAATATTTAGATATTATTTTTTTTTTGAAAAATCTATTTTCTTACATTTTGAATAATTTAAAACAGAACCAACTGCACTCAGAGTAGATACTACTTGTTCCGATACTTTTCGAGCGCTAACGTCTTCTGAAGATTCGGTAGATTCATCTTTATTATAACAAATATCACAAACTCGTACTGGTGTATGCCAATTTCTAGATGGAACGCATTTTGTTTTGGATGAGCACTGTTCACAAAAACCTTCACCACACGCTCGACAATGGTGTTTTGTATCAGTTAATCCAAATAACATTTTACACTTATGGCAGTGCTTTATTTCATTATTCGGTTTCCAATAAGATGGAGCTACTTGATCTGCAACCCATGCTGAGAGGACTTTAGTCGGTTGTAACGAAACATTGGTTACAGCTTCGGTAATGTATGATACACCATCTATTACTCTTTGTGCTGCATTTTGAGTTGTCACTGTATGATTTCCCTAAAAAAAATTTTTATAATAATTTGTTTTTAATGAATGATTCGCTCCAAAGTGATTTATAAATATTTGTTACATACCATATTCCATACATGCGTAATTTCTGTACGAACAGCAAAATCTTCTGGATTTTTATTATTATACCAATAATGACGGCTTTTGTATATTTCTCCACAATGTGGACATTCTATCACATCACCTGACCATGCATATTTAACTAATCCATACCAACTATTATCATTCTGAGTTTGAACTCGTTTCATAACTTGTACTTCATTTCCGTTACTATGACATTTTTTACATATATATATTACATTTTCATATTGATGCTGATATCGACACCTAGTAAAATATATATCAATAATATTTCTATTTTTATATTAAATTACAAATAATCCAATACAAAACTAACTTGGTATTGCTATTATGAGGTTTACCCTCTAAAAGATGTCCCATACTATTGCTGCATCTAGATCCACAACTGAGACATTTAACGGAACAAGTGAAATATTGATCAGGAAACAAAGTATTAGAAAAATTCTCCATTTCTCCAGAAAATTTTTCGTTCAAAATTTTCAATGTATTATAAACTAAATATGGTTTTCTGGCAGATCGTATGTTAGTATTATATAATTCTTTTTTAATAGCAGTCTGCAAAAGTTCATAATCAGTCGTGGAATTTGTTGTTTGTATACCGACGTATTTTATGGAACTAAATGCTTCCGTTTCGAGCTTCATTTGAGCGAATCGTGTTCGAAGAATATCTTCTGCATTTTCTATACCATCTACAACAAAAGAAAAATAATATATTCATTATAAAATAAACATATCAATTTGTGAATAAACTCTTATTTTGAAATTACTGTTAATCTGAGAATGTGGCAATATGTACTGTTGGTCAAAGGTTTGGTGTATCTAGTCTCATGTAATACTATAATGCTTGGTCCCAAGGCACTTATGGAGCCTAGATCTCCTTTTCTTTGTCCTACTGCTTGCAAGGCAGCTTGAAAATGATGACTATATGCTCTTGAAGCAGTACCAATAAATGTAAATAAATCTCTATTCAACTTTTCAGATTGTGTTCTGTACACAACAATATCAGATACAGCAAGAACTTTAAGTAATAATCTTGTTCGTTCATTCTCATAAGAGGTAATACCTAAATATAACAAAAATTTTTTATATATAAAATAAATTTTTATTATATACTATATAAATGTAAATATTATATTACCTAATAAACCTTCTGTATCTAAACATATTACATTAAGAATTGGATCAAGTGCAGCCCAAACACCTAATGTGCATGAATTTTGATCATTTGAAGTCTCAAAAACTTCCTCTCCTTTAAAAAATGTTTGATTCAAGGTGTGACTTTTGCCATCACCAGTATTTCCAAAAATTGATACCACCTTTACTTCGAGATCTTTATCACTGCAATTTAATTTTTCCATGAACTGTTCTGCATTGCAAACTTTGAGGTATTCTTGTCCATCTATCAACAAGAAACTTTTAGGTTGATTGCACTGACATTTCATGTGCATTTCACTTTCATGTATTTCATTTCCATTTACGGAATCATGACTGGAATGGTATATATCCTTGTTGCAGATACACATTGTGTCGAGACTCTTCATGATAGCTGGTCCAGTTGCCTCTAATTTACATTCTTTCCAAAATGCACTCATGATGCAATGCAATGGTATTATTCTTAAAATATTAAAAATATTTTTTTCTTTATTATTAATAAATATAAAATTGCTTAAAATTATTTATTATTTAATAGCATTTAATATATATATATATATATAATAAATAAAATAATAAATTATACAATAATTTTTTCAATATTACAAATGCAACATTAATAATTCAATATAGTTATATTTACTACAATACTACAATATCTCGTTAATAAAAGAAAAAAAGAAATGTTCAATATCATTCAATATAATTGTATGGATAGTTAACTACGCAAATTGAAACCGATATGGCGACCTTACCTTTAAAAAATTCAATGGCCTACATTTAAATAATGTAACGGTATAATGATCATACTTTGAGGATATTCACTACTGATGAAAAATTTTGAATAATTCCGAATGTTAAAAATTGATCATCAATAACACCTCCATTACGAGCAACTGAATGCGTTGCGACTCAATACACGAATTGTAATAGACACCTTTTCGAAAAATCACTTGAACTGCAATTGAAAGTAACTTCAAGGCTAATGTTTTACGTTCTCTTTTCTACTCATAAATATATTTTAATTTTTTCATTATTAGATTGTATAAATTGTGAAACATTAAATTACTTCATAACTTCATAATTAATTACTTTAAAGTGATTCTTACGCAAATTTGCAACTATTCATATAATAAAGAATATTATTTTTATTTTTTTTTCATTTTATATTTCTTTTATTAAATTCGTAAAATTTACTGATAAGAATTATCAGATCTATGCAAAGCAAACGCAATTGAACTATTACTTTTATAAAAGAGTGGGGATAGTTAGTAATGGGAGACATTTTATAATCCTTAGTTACGAGTTATGATCGAGAATATTCATTTTTGAAATTAACGTGATAAAATAAAATTCTTTAATTCATTTTATTGAATGTAAAAAAAATATATTTGCAATCTTACTAATAAATAATATATTATTCAATTTAATATATTTTTATTTCTTTAGAAAAAATATATATATTGAAAAGACATAAAAATTAACAATAAATCTTAAATTTTAAAAAAACACATTTTATTATAATATTATTTCTTCATTTTTATTAAAACTGTTATTGAATTTTATGTAATATATGAATTTTAGAAAAACACACATTAAATGATTATACAACCGTTTGAGAGAGTATAAAAAAATTATTTTGAAAAAAATTAATGTAAAAATAAAAAATTTATATTTATTAAATGATTCATTATTGGATTGTATTTTATGTGTATTTTGTGTAATTGAAAATGAAACATTTATTATATAATTTAAATAAATTTATATAAACTCATATTGACATCGTATTACGTCAATATGTACTGACCGAAAATATTATTGATTTATATTAAATTACAGCGTATTCATTATAGTATTGTAAATATTGACTTTTAAAAAAGTTATTATCAATACTGAACGAGATTTTGATATAATCGATTCCGAGCTCTCGATTATCGAATATATACTGTTCAAAATATCGATACTGATTGATGAGGAAGTGCTGATAATACACCGCTAACATACCGCTAAATCGTTGAGGTTGATTTTTCTGTTTTGGCGAATGAAACATTATTTTGCGTAATTAATGCGTCATTGCGATTCTGATCTCTTTGATAGAATGAATGTCAGTGAAACCTAAAGACTGCTATTGGCACATGTGCCATAATGTCATCGAAACATTTATCCGAGGAGTGTTTCAGGATACAATTTTCTATCTTATACGAAAGACAGTGACCCACCCTAAACAAAATTCAATTTCGTCACGTAAAATCAACAAATGATGGAAAATCATACGCAGGATAGT